CTCTCACTCTCGAAGGTGAGTTAGGTTTCCAAAGTAAGGCTGGCTACATCTACTCCTCAGTGTTCTGAGGGGTCCCAGGGAATAATTCTATGAAGCCTAGGGATTGAACCCCTATTGGTGTGATTCATCCTAACAATGTCAGCTGAGAATCATTTAGTCAGCCAGCTTTAAGTAGCTTTTAGATAATAATTAAAGTGTACATTAAGAACAGTTGGTACAAATGTGCCACCAAAAATCTGTGATATACTTTCCAACAAGTATATACAGAGTCCAGGGGAAAGTGGGATCAGGTTTAGAAAATACATGTAGAAAAGGGGTAGAATTCGTAGCCCCAGGATCCTTGAAATCCTTAACTGCCACTCACTCAAGAAGGTTTCCCTGAAGTATAATGAATCTCTGTCCATCTGCCTTCAGCTCATGAAGCAGATCTCTGCCACCATTTAGAACACTATTGTGAAGATGGGAAATCCAGCATTCTCTGGACATTTCCAAGTTGCAAGGTCCTTGCTTACTCAAAGGTACTTAGCCAAGGCCAAAGTTAAAGCCTCTCCTTTCCCTCAAGGTGGTTCCTTCTTGGAAAAGTGATACTGCCCAAGGCATGCTTGGGAAACAGTGGGAGGACCAGTCTGACTAGAAAATGGAAGTAGTTGTTGCAAAACTAAGTTGGTACGAGATGGTGGTCATTGAAGTTTTGCTTTCGGAAGTCTAAGTACATCAAGACTGTCTATATGTATAACCCATTCAGTCTTTATTACTGAATTGACTTTTTACTAACTAATTTTTACTAATTGTCAGTCATTTTTTAAAAATTGACTAACAAGTAATTTAGTTGACTAGTCAACTTATTCAAAACAGTTGATGACAAATACTCACAGACTTAGGTTTGGAGACTGGTGGGTAGAAATTCTTTAATTGTCAGTTTGTTTGCAGGTAGAAAATTATAAGTAGCACCTGCTCCAAAGTGTGAGCATATTCTTATAAATGTACACATATTAATTTATAGCTTATGATCATACTTATCCCCATAATATTCACTCTCACTTGAACAAAAGTTTTGTAGAGGATTGATTGGTATTGGAACAAAAAGCCTCGAGAATGAACCCATCAATATTAGAATTGAGAAGGCATCATTTTGAAAATTCGTCTTGGGCTTTTGTATCTCCTTCTGGGCTTTTACTTATCCTTAACTAGAAGCAGAGCTGACAAGCCACTTTAATTCAGATGTTTACTTTAGGCTGGATTTAATTACTTGGGAGATGTCTTTTATTAATGAGATTGAGCAATTTAAACCTTAGCTTTCATTCCTGAGACTTGGCTTCACTTAGCTAAAAAACATAGCTAAGGGTTAAATAGACTTTTGAAATAAGATTGTCTTTTAAAAATTCCTATTATATTTTAAACACAAAGTTTCATGCTCCAAAGAGATTTCTGATTTTTTCATAATAAATAGTGATTCTCCTAAAAATTTTCAAATGTAAGCCAAGAAAAGCTATTGAAAAATATTTTCTCATCAAATATGAGAAATCAAATATTCCTCATCATTATCTAGTGCTTGTTAATTTATGTTTTGAAAGAATTTTTTTCTTATCTCTGATTTGTCTTTCTTTGACTTGTTTCCCAATCATTTTTTTTAAATGCTAGACCTGTGATTTCATTGATATAGGGAATTCCTGGTGAGAAACTGCCCTCTATCAATGCAGATCTGCAGAGTTTTTACAAGACACTTCTGACTGAAAACAGATTGCTCCTCCAAAAGCTCCTCCACTGCCCAAAGCCTCCATAAAACTCAAACTAGTGTTTGCACATTCCTTTCTCTGAGCCCCATTATCCTTTTCCAGCAGCAGATCATTTGTACCTCGAGGTCCTGCTTCAGGAGGGATCACTGATATTTTATCAGAGCAGTCAGGCATTTCATAAAAGCAGTTGTTTTCACTAAGAGAAGCCAGGGGAACTACATTGCAGGGAGAAGCAAGCACATGGCATGAGCTGGTATCTATTATGGTCTTCCCTTGGGTACAACAAGATTATGAGTAAGTCTTCGGTGCTTATATCCAAGATCTAAGAGAATCCCACAGGAGTGGAATTGGGAAGGAAATGAGCCATGTGTTTTGAGCCTAGAAAAAGGGAAAGGAGATCCCTGAATCCCGTGAGAATATAAACCTTTTAACCTGTAGTATTGTCAACAACAGAAGAAAGGGATAGTGAATCAGCAACAATTTAATTAGCTCCTGCTTTTAATATTTCCCTTAAAAGTCTGGTAAATCTGGGTCCCATCTCTGGCTGTGCCTATAGCTCTCTGAAGCAACCGAATCATGAGATCATAGAAATATAAAATATAGAGCTGGGAAGATCCTCAAAGATCACATAGTTCATCCTCTCCCCCTTATTTTGCAGGTGAGAAATCTTAAGCCCAAGGAGGTTAGTTATTTTTAATAAATTCCTTGAAATAACCTATAGGATCAAAGCTTTTATTTCTAATATAAAACCAGTTAACAAAACTCTTGGGGATTCTCCACCTATTTCCACTTCAGATACCAATTGCAAATTTTGGGGTCTATATGGGCACTTTTTATAAGGGGAAAAAACAGGCTTGTATAATACTATAGTTATAGCACAACCCTGAATTCTTAATAAGGCTATATTTATTTCTATTAGCATGTGGGAATAAACTTGGCAACCTCCAGCCTGATTCCTCTCTAATCTATGATTGTAGGTGCAAGGATAGAATCTGAACTAGTTTTCATTGTTCTCCTTTGAAGACTTGTAGGGAACAGACTAATGTAGCAGAACTTAGTGGATTAAGTGCCAAATTTATCAGGAAGGGCTGGGTTCAAATCCCGCTCCTGATCTTTGTTAGCTCTGTTACTGTGGGGAACATTTATTTAACTTTCTGCTTCTCAGGCAATTCTTGTAGATATCTAGCAAGTTATAGATGAACTGATGTTTGACTTGATAATATTGACCTAATAGATATATTTGGTATCTTCTTAATTTTTATCCATAAACTACAATATACCCCCTACTCAGAAATGTTTTATTGATAAAATATGGATCCAGGAGAAATGATGCAGTAAGGGGCTTTATGACAGCAGTCTCCTTCAGAGCCCAGAAGTAGATGAACAAATGAGGATGGTAATCTATTATTAAAGGGACAGTATACACACACACACACACACACACACACACACACACTTTTTTCTCCTTAATAGATATTCATTTTAGAAAACAAAAGAGAAAAAAATCAAGCCAGGATATTGGGGAAGGCACACTGAATTAAAAAAAAAAACAACAAACAAACCAGAGACAGGGCAGTGAATAAATGCATATGTTACATTGAGGCATTGGAGAGTAAAATAAATCCAATCTCTTATAGCAAAAAGATAAGCAAATCAGGCAGAATTTGAATGTCAAAGACTTCTAGGTAATAGCTTGTATTTGTGTTATTGAACCTCTGGAGTTCTAAAGAAAATTTCTTGAACTAAGTCTTTTTTTCCTGTGTGGGAATCTGATCAAGAATCAGATTTATCAAACCTATAAAGTGAAAAAAGACAGAAGAGAAGAAAATTGCCCATGTCTGTGTATTAATTAGGTACCATAGAAAACAGTAGCTACAACTTATGAAGAAGAGCAGTAGAGATCCAAAATAATTCATAGAAGACAAAATTACAGAAGGGAGCCAGCAATAAAATTCATTTCCTACTCTATTGAGAAGCTAAGAGACATCTATTGTGAGCATCGTCTTCTTCTTAATTCTATACTTGAATATTTCTTACTATCTTCCCCTATTCTCACTTCCTTCATTCTAGTCTGAGGAAGAAACGGTCCTTCTCCTTGTTAACACCAACACTTTTACGCATGTCCTTGGTCTCATCCTCTTTTGTATCCTCTGGAAGCTTATCCCTATAATCATTCCCCCTTCATTTACCTTATCTTAACTCCTACCCCATATCTCAGGAAAGTAAGATTCTTTCCTACTGCCCATAAACATACCTCAGTCTCCCCCATGTGTTAAAAAAAAAAAGAAAAAAAGCCTTTGTTTGATCCTGTGGGTACACCAAGCTTTCATCTTGTATCTCTCTCCCATTTGATAGCCAGCCCCACACTAACCAACTAAACTACCTTTGCTCATCTCCAACTCAGTTATCTTCTCCCATCCACACCTGTTTTTTCCTTACATCAAGTTGAAATGGATACTTTACAGTTTCTACACATTGCCCCTATTTCTGTATTCTGGGAGTAAACTAAATATAATCCTTTTTTCCCATGAAAGCTCGTCAAATACTTGAAAAAAGTTTTCATGTGACCCCAACACGTTCCTTTCTTCAGAGTAAACAACCATTGTTCTTTTAACTGACCTTCCTATGGCCCGCTCTCTATCGTCCTTCCTCTGGGTGTGTTGTATCTTGCTTTAAGCTTTATGAAGTAATCAACACATCTCTCCTGTACCTAACATTTCTGTTCCCCATATTTCAGCTCCCACTTCGTGTCATTTTCCCAATTAGAATGTAAACTCCTTGAGGGCAAAGACTATCTTGTTTGTATTTTTATACACAGAACTTAGCATTGCATCTGGCAAAGAGGTAGTGCTTGATACGTATTCTCTCTCTCTCATATTAATTTAGCTATCATCTGCTATTATTATGCTTATTTTATAGATGAGGACATTGAGGCTCAGAGAAATAAAGTGATTTTTCCAGGGTTGCACAATTCAATTAATCACTAATTAAATTATTTCCAGCAGGAGTAAGGGTTTCAAACCATGAAGTGAGTGATCATTTTTTCCCGTTAAGAGGTATTATTTTGTGGGGCAAAGGGGTTATAGTGCATATGGTGCCCCCCTCAAATGTGTATTTTTTAAAAAATATCAGTTTCTGACCCTATTTAGACTCATTCTTACTACTTATTTCTTGGAGCATTTCTAATTTTAAACAACCAATCATCATTTTAGGCTAATTTCACACACAACAACGTAAGCACATAAATCAGGAAAGAGGATCTACCTGGCAGAATCTATCCATGCTTGCGCCTATATACCATCCACCTCAGCCAGGAGTTTCTGATGAGTTATTCATTCCATTCAGCCACATTGTAATAGGACACTACTGTCACTGCAACCACCTAGAAGTTTTAAGGGACAAAAAGTTGCCTCATTTATTGATGTTCTTCCTCAATATGTTTGATCACTTACCTTGCTGTGCCCCTTCAGCCTCAGGAGAGCTGCTGTGCCCCAAGTGTCTACTGGGACTCTGGAACTGGACAGCTAGGATCTAACAAGGAAAATCAGAAATGAATCTTGTATGGTCTGGTGTATCCTGGAGCAAACATGTTAGAAGTGTGAACATGTTTCTCCAGACATCCAATAGGAAGATAATGGTCTTTTCTCTTACATTGTGTAAAATTATTCACAAATTTTCCCATGTCACATATGTATTAAAAAGTTAGGCAGAGTACAATGATGCATTTGGCAAATGTGACCAACAATATGTGCCATTATTTTTCTTATGTATTGACAGTTATTGAATCCAAACAATATGGTAGGTGTGAGGGACACATTGGGAGCCTGGAGAGTTTGTGATTTAATTTCCAGAACTCACAATAATTGACAACATAGTTTGGTAACCTGAAGACTTGTTCACCCCCTTGCATATGCTGCTTTTCTACATGTATGGGTTATTTTATTGGCCTACTTTTTCCAAGTGTATTAGACAGACAAAAATCCCATTATTCTAAAGTAATTTTTTTAAACCAGAGGACCCATGATTTCATCAATGTAGTAAGCTTTTCTCTGTGCTTTATAAGTTTGAGAGAGTTGCCTTGGGAGTTATCAGTTTAAATAATTTTCTCAAAGTCAGATAGCCTGTATGTATCAGAGGTAGGTAGAGGGTAAGGATAATTTATATAAGAATATATGTTTATCCTTATTATATACAGGTATGTATTTGTTTTATATGTGTGTGTTGTATATACATATTCCACACATATATCTAAATCTAGTATATATTTATTATACATAATAGTATAATTATATTTATATGATATTTGTACTATGTAATACTATATTTATGTGTGAATAGGCATTTATATAGTACCAACTGTGTGCTAGGTACTTTACAAATGTTATCTCAATTATCTTCACATTAACCCTGCAAGGTAGTAGTAGTAGTAGTAGTAGTAGTAGTAGTAGTAGTAGTAGTAGTAGTAGTAGTAGTAGTAGTAGTAGTAGTCATTAGTAGTTAATAGTTAATAGTAGTAGTAATATGGTGTTAAGGGAGAACTAGCACCTCTCGTGTGAGGGTTTGCTGAGTCCTTGTCAGTGTTGCTCATCCACTTTTGGTGTCTACCTATCGTCTGCCTCTCACCTGTGGCTGCAGAAGCTGTAGAATGTGCAGTGGCTGCACCTTGGTAAATCTTCATTGGATGGGCTAAATCAAGTTGAAAGGAACTGACAGGCCTCAAACCCATTGGTGAGTTAGGGGGATGTCTACCTCAAGCATGTGAAGACTTCCCACAGCAGCAGAATGGGGGGATAAGAACAATTTGTTCCAGTTGTGATGAAGGCAGCTGAAGCAGGTACTATGGAACATTTAGGGCCTGGTCAGATATTGAAGACATCAAGGTCATCCACTGCATCCCAGAACATTGCCAGTCATCTTGACTTTTATCCTATCACTGGACTTTGATGACTCTGGAAGAGAGAATGAGGCTGTTTTGTGCAATTCTGCCTCACTTAAATCTAATTCACACAAAAGTCAAGACATCATTCAGTGGTGTCATTGGTCTTCTTCAAAAATGAAAACAACTAACATTTATATAGTGCTTACTTTGTGTCAGGTACTGTGCAGAGCGCTTTACGATTATTGTCTCATTTGATCCTTACAATAACTCTGGGAGATAGGTACAATTATCCTCTTTTTAGAGTTGAGGAAACTGAGGTAGATATCAGTTAAGTGACTTGCCCAGGGTCACATTCCTAATAAGTATCTAAGGCCAGATTTGAACTCAAGTGTTCCTTATTTCAAGCTTAGTGCTGTATTCACTGTGCCTAATTGGGACTCACCCCTGTCTTCTAGATCCTGAGGCCACTTTTGTCTTCCAAAGCCTACCAGATGATAGAACTGGAAGCAGTGTTCCAGTAAATCTGAGGCTTCAGAATTTTTTTTAAAAAGTAAAAACGAAAACAAAACTGTCTGACATTTCCATTAGTCAAATAGTGAAATGAAAGATTCATGCAAAAACTATTGAATATCTCCTATGTGCATAGTGCTATGTAAGTGTTGAGGTGGGTGGTTAGGTGGGAGGATTTAAGGAAGTAAATATAGTTGCCTTTCTAAGCAGAGCCAAAAAGGTCAGCTAGAAAGATAATCCTTTACTTAGAGAATCCTAGAGAATCAAGTAAAGAAATTACTTGAAATAATAAATTTAAGGAAGTTGCAGGATATAAAACAAATGCATAAATCATCAGCATTTCAATGTATTACTAACAAAGCCCAACAGCAAGAGATAGAGAAATTCTATTTAAAGTTAGTGTAGGCATTATAAAATATTTGGGAGTCTACCTGCCAAAACAAACCCAGGAACTATAAAGCTGGGAAACAATTTTTACAGCCAGTGTCTCTGATAAAGGCCTCATTTCTAAAATATATAAGGAACTGAGTCAAATTTATAAGAATACAAGTCATTCCCCAACTGATGGTCAAAGGATATGAACAGGCAGTTTTCAGAGGAAGAAATGAAAGATACCTATAGGCATATGAAAAAATTCTCTAAGTCACTATTGATTAGAGAAATACAAATCAAAACAACTCTGAGGTACTATATCACACCTATTAGATTGGGTGATGTGACAAAACAGGAAAATGATAAATGTTGGAGAAGATATGGGAAAATTGGAACACTAATGCTTTGTTGGTGGAGTTGGGAACTGATCCAACCATTCTGGAGAACAATTTGGAACTATACCCAAAAGGCTACAAAACTGTCCATACCCTTTGACCCAGCAATACATTTCTAGGTCTGCATCCCAAAGAGATCATAAAAATGTTCAGAAGTATTTATAGCAGCTCTTTTTGTGGTGGCCAAGAATTGGAAATTGAGGGGATGCCCATCAATTGAGGAATGGCCAAACAAGTTGTGGTACATGAATGTAATGGAATACTATTGTGCTACAAGAAATGGTGAGCAGGCAGACATCAGAAAAACTTGAAAAGACTTATATGAACTGATGCTGAGTGAAGTGAGAAGAACCAGAAAAGCATTGTACACAGTAACAGCCATACTGTGCAATGACTAACTTTCGTAAACTTGGCTTTTCTCAGCAACACAAGGATCTAAGACAACCCCCAAAGATTCATGATGGGAAATGCTATCCACATCTGGAGGAAGAGCTATGGAGTCTGAATGTAGATTGAAGCATACTATTTGATCTCTTTTTTTTCTTTCATTGTTTTATTTTGTTTCTTCTTTCTTGTTCCTCCCATTCTCTCTAGTACTTCTTTACAACATGACTAATGTGACAGTATGTTTAATATGAATGTGTATGTAGCCTATATCAGATTGTACACCATCTTGGGGAGGGGGAAGGAAAGAGGAGGGGAGAAAATGGCAACTCAAAAGCTTATGGTAGTGAATGTTGAAAACCAAAAATAAATAAATAAAAATTTAAAAAACATTGCAAAACCAAAAAAAAGTTAATCCTTTACAATCAAAATATCCCCCATTTATTAAGTGCCTATTTTATGTTGAATAGATGTGCTAAATGACAATATGAGGATAAAAGTCAATACTTCCTGCCCTCATGGAGCAGGGGAGACATTAGTATCAGTGGAAACAACACATACTCACGTAAGTAGATACAAAATATATCCACAAAGTTCAAACTAGATACAAAAATATACAAAGTTCAAACTATACACAAATCAAAGTTACTCCAGAGTTTGGTGTAGGAAGACATTAGAGGATGGCAAGAAGAGAAAAGGCCTCATCTAGAAGGTGGTGCTTGAATGAAGCTTTGAAGGAAGCTAATCTATTCTAAGATGTAGTGTTGAGAAGAAAAAATATCTAGGCATGGGGCACAGCCTATGTAAAGGCACAGAGATGGAAAATGGAAAGTTGTAGGTGAGGAAGAGCAAGTAATCCAGTTTGACTGGACAATGGAGTACATAAAGGACAGAATTGTGTAATGAGTTTGGAAAGGTAGATTAGAGCCAGGCTGTGAAAATCTTCAAATGCCAAACAAGGAAGTTTGTATTTCATCAAAGAGGCAATAAAGAACTAATAGAACTTTTTGAGCTGGAATGTTGCATGGTAAGATCTCTGCCTTGGGATTATTTGGCAGCTGTACAGAAGATGGATTGGAGTGAGGAGAGAACTGATCTAAGGGGCCCAAATAGGAACCAGTTGCAGTAGTCCAGGTGAAAGGTGCTGAGAATCTAAACTCAGGTAGCAGATGTATATATACAGAGAAGAAGTCAGATATGAAAGATGATGCCGCAGGTAGAATAGAGTAGCTCTTTGGAGGGGGGCAGTGGTGTTGGTGGGTGTGATGCTATAGAAACACGAAGGCTGTGTCTACACACAGAACGGTTTGAAACAAGATACACCAAAGGCTGCTTTCAGTTAAATCAGTTATTTTACATTGACTCTGAATGAATACTTGCCTGAATGTGGCATGCATAGCATTTTATAATTTTTCCTGCATCGAATATGTCTTATCTCTTTCCTAATATCAGAACTTACATCAAAGGGTTGTTTTGAGACTCAAATGATGGAAATCGGTTAAAGAAGCATTTTTCAAATGCCAGCTATGTGCTAGCAAATGGGGATACAAAGGCAAAAGTAAAATATTCCCTGCCCTCAAGGATCTTACATTCTATCAGAGGAGACAATATGCTCAAACATAATAGTATATACAAAATTCACTAAAGATACAATGTAATTTTAGTAAGGCAAACCACTAGCATCTAGGGGAGTTAAAATATTCAAGCCTTCTAGTGCTATATAAATGCAAGTGATGATAATTATGATAATAGTGGTATTCCTTAACCTGAAATGCATGGTACACTTCATTTTCCTGTTAATTAATAGAAATTGTCCTGTGCATGATATTGAAAGCTCTGCTAGTTACAAGGTGTGGGACTTTGGACAGTTACAATGGAGTCTTTTTGAAACACAATTTCCTCATCTGTAAAGTAAATTTGTAGGACTAAATGATTTCTAAAGTCCTTTCCTGATTGATGAAATGGTGGCTAATTAACTAAGATAAACCTTGAGAATCTTCTTTGACCCCAGGAAGCAGGTGTCCACAGTTTGGGTAAACTAGCAATAGGTGGTGCTTTTGCTCATTTTGGTAAGACTGAAACTATTGTTCCCTTTTTTAGAGTGGAGGATACTCAGTAATCCCAACATTTTTAGAGTTGAGAATACTTTGTCATCCAAACATTATAAATCAATTTTAATGGGATTATGTAATCTCACTTTTTATTCATATGATATAGTAATAAAATTCACAATTTAGAGTTGAATTTTGAAAGGAAATCTTTCCCCTCTATCCTTTAATAGTAAGAATACAAAAAGGACAGTCTATGCTCAATGATCAGTTCTTATTCTCTATTATCCTTATTTTTTAAAATTTATACTCAGTGGTGGAATGTTGGTATTCTCCCAACTTAACCTAGAGTTCTTTTTGAAGCTACTTCAAAGCATTCAGAGCCACTGGTCCCCATAGACATCTCTGCAGCAAAGTTGAGATATCGCTGCCAACTTGAAGCTAGAGGCAAGAACTCATCTCTCTAATGAGGCACTTAGACCTTATCTGTCTAATTAAAGCTGAATTTAAATCAGGCCTTGTGCTGACTTCCTGTTCTTGGCTCCCCTCTTACCTTTCTCTAACTGAATGAAATTAGAAGATGCTATTTGTCCTTTTTATCTTCATCTCACCATCGTGTTCTCTCTCAATCAGAATTAACTAGTCAGAAAATGAAAGCATGATTTTGTTCCTTCCACTGAATGTCTCCAAGTTCTCTATGTGTTTCTGCCTTCTTGCTTCTCCTGCCCTTCCCTGTGTAGTAAGGCATGGAATTAGTTAGTCATTGTCCAGTGCTTTCTGCTGAAACCTTTAGGCACATTTTCAGAAATGCCTTCTTTTAAGCTCCTGAGCAGTTTGTGAACTAACCAATATAACCAGTCTTAAAATAGTGATGATGGTATTATTTCCCCAAAGCATGGCAGATTTTGATGCCTCATTGTGGTATGGACCTGACTCTGGGCTCTCAAAGGCTATGCCAGTGGAACAAAAGCTCTTGGCAGGATCTACTCCGTTGGAAAGACTTCATGTATGGGCCAGTGACAGACTGTCTGCTGTCCTAGGACCAGCCTAGCTGAGAATAGAAAAGCTCATCACCAGAATATTGGCTACTAGGAATTTCATTTTTATCAACAATTGTGATCTATGAAAATACAAAATGACCTTTGGGTCAGTGCCAGTCCCCTTTGGCAGAAAAGAGGGCAGAGGTTGCTGA